TTCAATATAATATTTGCTTAGCTTGGGTCTTGGTTCTTTATAAAGAATACATTTAACCTGAACATCAATGTACTGCTACTCTTTTTGCAACTTATTTATTAATGTATAAATACTTACATGTTTTCCTCCAACTAAAGCATTCCAATGACTATGCCAAGCCTCTACGAAGTTTTGTGTTCATGGAATATCTAAGTCTACTGACTCATATACAGACCAAAGCTGTAGATGAAAAAAAGGCAAGTTATGGACTACTGTATCTTTATCTTATCCAATTACCCTTCCAATATAGTTATTTTCAAACTATTGGATCAAATTACTTGTCTCAGAAGGCATATTAGCCTTTAAAATTTCAAAACCAGCAGGAATTTCATTTGGAGATAAGAATGGCAAGGCAAATAAATGCCAGATCATAAAGCTAAAATGGATATTATTGCCATATGTAGTAACCAAGCCATACTCTTGGATTTTATGCCATCCAATTTGGCATAGATGAAAGTAATACAATTTATTTATTGCATTAGATAGCTCACATAATGCATTAATTACAGCTTTCTCAAAGTCTGTAATTATCTATATTAGATTTAATTAAATATTTATTTCATTAGCAAATTCAGACAAACTTCTGAAAAACAATCTATATTTGGAAATTTTTAATAATTATGAACTTTAATTATAATGATAAAAATTCTATTTTCATCTGATTAAAATAGAATAAAGCCAAGGTTTACTATAGAATTATATGTATTACATGATTTGGTACTCCAAAATTTGTCTAACTTTGACACAAACATACATTTTTGATACTCCTTCACCTACTTTTTCAATACATCTAAACTTTTACTAAAACTAACCAATAAGATCGCACATTATTATAAAAAGTTAGTAAAAAGTACAGAAATTTTAGGATATGTTTAGATGTATCAAAAAAGTAGGTACAGAAGCATCAAAAATGGTAAAGTATAATTACATGATTTTAATCCAGATTAAAATAATTTAAATCATTACTAACTTATACAATTTTTCAGATTTTTCTGTCATTATTGCATACACCAATGATAAGATTCGAGAATTTTTTTCTGGACCAACTGATGCATGAATTGTATATAATTAAGAAAAAATGGATGGGACTGTTTTAAAAGTCTTATCTATTAACCAGAATGAGGCTTTTGATAGATGTTCAATATTTTCTTTAATAGAAAAGATAAGGATTCAATGTTGGCCAAGTATAGAATCTTTAATTAAAAAAGATCTCCAGCCAAGGTATTACATAGTGTAGATGGTATAATAATATCTAATGCATTTGCTAATTGCAATTGTGGTAAATTTTCATTTTTTCTTGAATAGTAAATTATTTTACAGAGAGAATTAAGTGATGACATGTATGGTTGCACTTCAGAAAACCTTGTTATATTGTCTTGAATTAATTGTGTAGGCTTTTCTTGACTTTCTGAAGCATATTTTTTGATGCTGGCAATGGCTGTGGCAACTTCAGAGCTACTTGCTTGGGGAGCATGATTATGTTTGCCTACTTCATATGTTTGTAAATAGTGCAAGTTATTTTTTAGAATTGTTGTTGCATGACCTTTACATTTCTTTGAGTTACACTTTGCACAACATCAATAAAATTTATCTCCTTGATTCTGTTTTTTTATTAGAATAAACCCACTGACTTTAATGCTATCATTCTCTTTTTGTGATAGAATTGTTTCACAAACTTTATTCTTTTTTAGCATCTTTATTCTTTTAATATTAAAATAAATAAAAATATAAGAATAAAAATATAATGAATAGAATATAAGAATAAAAATATAATGAATAGGATATAAAAATAAGATATAGCAGAATAATTAATTAAAAAGAAGTGAATTGTGTTATATAATAAAAGAAAATTAATGAATATAGGATGCTTTAAAATTGGTAAGCTATTAATAGAACAGTCAATGGAATAAAAATTGAATTATATAAATATAAAAATAGTAAATATATTTTATTTATTTAAGTTATACTCTGTATATTACATCATTACTTATAAACATTAATCATAATAATCTAATTTATTTGTTAAATAATTAATTAACTAACAAAATTAGCATTAGTGACAGAATGCTTTTTGGTAAAAAAAAAAAATAATATTGTAGGTTGACAATATAGTATCATATATTAATCTTTTTATTGACAATAAATCCAACTATCAATTGATATATTATTGATAAACCTAACATATCACAAAATTTATATAATAAATTCATATTATTAAATCTGGTTCTAAATGTTTAATTTTTAATATCCTGATTATAAATAGAGTTTGAAACCAGAATTAATAATACAAATTTATCATACAAATTTGTAATATATTAGCATTAGGATTTATTAAGAACTTATTGATATTTGAATTTATTATTGTAATAATTATGATAAAAATTTGTATTAATAAATCCAATTCTAACCTCAATTTATCATTATAAAATTACTATATCTTTAATTTATAAGTTTATTATTTTTGGGTTATTGTCTGAAGCGAAGTGAGGACTTCACAAACGAATACATTGCCTGGCAGAACAATTAATGAAATTCAAGAGATAATGGATCCCATGATCTTTAGTCAGTAAATATAAAGAACTTCTGAACTTAATAAATTCAAGAGAATAAAATATACATATATTGTAAAGTAGAGAGAGATATTTTGGCAGGGGTAGATAATGTGGCAGATAACATATTATTGAAGTTAAACCTTGGTTATCAACTGGTATCCAATGATTTTTATACTACTCGAGTCATCTTATCAACATGAATTGAATAATATAAAAAACACCTAATTTTGACTAATAGATTGTACAAAACTCTGGAGCAAATGATACATATTGTAGCAAATGATTGTTTATAATACATATACATATGTTGTAAGGAAGAAATCATCCAATATTGGCATCAAAGTTGCTTGAGTCAATTTGGACCAAATTTAGTAAAACGGTATTATTGCTGTCAGATATGACAGCAATAGTAGCTATAACAGTTGTAGCAGTAATAGCACATAAAGTAGAAGTGGTAAAAGTGTTAGTAAAAGTCCTATAATAACTAAAATGTATATAAAGGTCCAATAGTTTAATCAAAATAAAGATAACTCCTCTTTGAGTTCGAAACTACAACATAATAGTAGTGATAGTTCCTTAAGTACTATACGATTGTAGTATTTTGTGTTATCACATTTGACTTGTCTCTATAATTAGTAACAGACCTGTTACTGATAGTTCACTAAAAGTAAAAGAAAGAAAATTCTTATTAGTAATTGATCCCTTATATATAAAAATACTTAAATTGATTGAGTTTGTAATTAGTTCAATTGTTAAATAAACTTACATATGTAATCACACTAAATCGTAATCCTGTGACACATGACCCCAAAATTCTGAATTCGAAAGATGATTGAAACTAAGATGCACCTGAAAAATAAGAACTATACTAGAGATAGTATTAGTTATTTGAACCAAAGACCATAATAGCAACAAAAGTATTGAAATTAGTAATAAACTCTAGCTCAAATTACAGTAAATAGCTTTAAAACAAGTCCTGTGACCCTCGCAGTATTCGAAAACACCTTATTCTTAGATCAAGTCAATCTATGCCTCGATCGAAGCCTACCAGTTAGGATATAAAAAGGAAATTTAAGTAAATTTAGTGTTCCTAATCTTAGTCTTTTGCTTAATAACAACCTTTGGCATCTTAGTCTTCTACTATATATGAATCTATATCATTACAACATACTGATAATTATTTTAATATTTAATATGTTAATCTGTTAATCTGTCACTTTATCCTTCCAACTATTAAAGTTACTTTACACTAACAAAAGTCAGGCAAATACAAGCCAACATCTTTTTTTATTTGATTGTATAATTTAATAAATGAATAATTATATTATATTGAAGTGGAATTTGTAATTAGTAGTATTTTAATAAAGTTTTATTAAAGCAAATATGATAAATTTTAATTTCATCAGAATACCTTCCTCTACCTTATGATTTTCTAGTAGATTTATTAATTCAAATTTATGATGTAAGTTATTATTAAGTTGAGTTTTTGGTATAATCTTTATATATTTTCTTATTTCATAAACTAAATTATTTCTTTAATCATTCATCAAATCTTAAATATGAAATTCTGCAACACTTGAATTTTTAGTTCTAATTCTATATGGATTGTATGCAACAAATATTTTAACATTTGGATGTAATGTTTAATTGCCTTTATATACTATATGAGTTATGATCAGATCCACTAAGAGACCTATATAATTGCATATATTGATTTTATCAAAGAATAACCAGAATTCATAATATTAACATTTATTTGAGTCTTTCATAAGTTGATTAATCATTGATAATTTTCTTTGCTATCTGTTATGCTAGCATGAAGATTTAAAGTGTGAAATTCTATTTCATCTACTATAGCAAAAAAACTAATCAAATTTGTCTGTTAATAATTGTTATCAAATAAAACCATTAGATTCTTACATTGCATCTTGACCATTTTTACTATAAAAAACTCATAATATTTATACCTTTTTACAACCAGCTTTACCACAAATTACTACAGGTATGTTTTCAAAACAAAATCAAAGCCATCTTTAAAGATTATTAGCTAATAAAGCATAACGGGTTCAGCATAATGTGGATAGTTAATTTTATGATGAGTTTTATATAATATACTTTCCAATCTCTGTAACAATAAGTCTATTGGATTCCATTTTCCTAGTAGAGACCAGAGATATCGGCAAAGTTCTACAGAGGATAAACACCTTTTCATATTAGGAAATCAAAGTTGTTTAAAATATTTCTATAACAATAAACACTTTCAATTATATAACAGGATAGGATATTTTAACTTTAAATTTCACTTTATTTTTTTGTTTGATAAAATTCAGAATTTATTGATACATATTAAAATCAGTAATCAAATTTTGGCATTATCAGAATTTGGATCTTGTTAATGTTAAGATCCTGGTAATGTTGGAATTTTGGAATTGTTAGAAGTTCAACATTTTCAAGATCTTGGTAATATCGAGATTTTGGCATTGTCAAGATTTTAGAGTTGGGATCAATATAAATAGTGTCAGAATTTTGGTACTGTCAGGATTTGGTGCTGTTGGGATTTTGGAAATGATAGGATTTTGAGGTCAGGATTTTGGGTGTTGGAATTTTAGTACTGTCAGGATTCTGGAGTTAGGATTTTGGATATCAGAATTTTGGGTGTCAGAATTCTAGGGTAAGACCATCTATTTTGACAAAGCCTGCTATAAATTACACAAAAATTAGAAAGAATTAGCAACAGACTTACCAATTTACTATACAACAATATTATTCTATATATATGTAATATTACACTTTGTATAGATATTTCAAGTTCTCAATAATGGATAAAATTTAACTTAATGTATCTAAATTACAGTTATATAAGATTAACTAATTAATAAAAAATAGTTACTGTAATACAGATTAATTTTTAAATTTTGTTATAAATGAGATTTGAATATTAGACTTCTACTTGGTAAATAACAACTCAATCACTATACTAGAATTATTATTTTCTTAAATAAGTTATTATTATTAATTATATAAATCAATTATTATTATTAAATAAATAAATAAAATATTATTATTAATTAAATTAAGTATTACAAATTATTAAATTATATATTAGAACAAAAAATAATGAAAAAAAATATAGCAATAATATTACAAAATATAGACAAGTTGCAATTATATATGCAAATAATATAATATAAATTGCAAATAGTAAAGAACAGTTATTAAAAATTTATTTATTTATTTATTTTTTAAAATGCCAAAGTAGAAACTTTATTAAGTAATAGAAGAATTATATTAAAGATTTTTAAACTACATTTGTGCTACTTATTTTAAGACATCCAATATGACATTACATCTTCATTTCTATATAACACTATTATTAATTATTTCAAATTAATTTTAAGTATAGAAAGGTTAAAGAAAAATCTAAAGTGATAGTCTTGGCATTTAGTAAATACAGTTAGTAAGTGAATAGCCTAAAAATAGTCAGTTTTTAATAGATATAGTAAGGTCAATAGTAGATATACTTGAGATATTAGATGTTGATTAAAAGATGGAAATTAGAGAGTAGATTTTTGAATGTTTGAATTTGTTAGTTATATTGCAAGCTTTTTCTTATTGTTGTTGAAGAGTATTACATGGTAGCCATATTTGTTGATAGAACCAATTAAGAGAAACATTTGATAAGGTTATAAAGAAGGGTAATGTTGTTTTATGAAGAAGTATTTTAATATTATTATATAAAGATATGGGGTAGAGGCCTTGGATAAGATTTAAAAAATTATGATATAATGATGTATTAAGATAGTAGAATAATGTAGTATGAATAGTATTTGTAATATCAGTAGAGATATTTAATTGTTAAGTAATATTTGTAGTTAAGCTACAAAGAATTTGTTAAAGGTTAAATTTTTGTTTAGAGCAAGTTAATAGATAAGATATATCTTTGATTAATTGACAATGAACACAATTTGGAGTAGTGTATAATAAGAAATGACATATATTAAGATTTTGCATAGTTAGTAAGTTGTTATTGATAATTTTTAGTCAAAATGAATAGAATTTTTGATCATTATTAAGTGAATTAATAATATTAAAATTGGTAGATCATTTAATAGAAAGTGGGTTTTGAAAGTATTTAAGTTGTA